TATACATTGTATATTGTTTGATATCATTTCATCTAAAGCGTGTCTCTTTGTAATATCTTTGTTTTGTCTTTAATACAAAGGTAATATCATTAGGCAATGCTTCAAAACGATGCGAGTCTAGAAGCAGAATCTTGCACCAAAAGGGAAAGAACTATAATTATAAAGAAACCATTCATTGCATGATATATATATATACATATATATTAAGACCAAAATGTGCACTGTCTCACATATCAGGATACGGCTAAATTCAAGGCTTGCTCGTTTTACATGATAAATATTGGAAAGAAATTTATCATATCTCTGCCTGTTTAAAACTAAGAAAGTTTATTGAGTATATAATGATTACTTCTCTCATCTGATCGAGATCGGATCAGTTCAAATTCTAAAAAAAAGTATAGCAACTTTCTTGTACGTCACTTTTCTTGAATGAACATAAGGGCAAGAGACATTGCGAGACAAGCCTTGCAAGCCGTGAATATGGTGTACTCGGTTAGGGTAGCACAAGTGGTGACGGAGACAATGTTGCTTGTTCAATGCTTGCCTAACATCTAACTTGGTCTGCGTCACTGAACTGGCGGCTCATTCGCTCGCTCAGATGAAGGGGATGCCTGCTTTTCCTGGCTCCCACGACCTGCGTTTCTGTCAATTTGTTGCCGATAGGAGCAAACACTTGTTAAAGCCGGTGAGATTTACATCTAACAGACCCTAGTCTATCCTAGTGCAAATTTTCATGTTTAACTTTTTTGGGTAACAAGCAGGTATCTGATTTGTAATATGTTAAAACTCGTAAGTTTGTAGCTTGCAATTTTATTGTAAAGATTTAAGATTATCAAAAGAAAATCACTGAGATTGTTAAACATTTGTTTAAATCTTCGTGTATATTGCAAGTCAGATATATCTTGAATCGCCAAAGGATCTTACAGTTCAACCGTAAGACCTGTTTTTAGAAATATTTAGCCATTTTCATTTTGTCTAAGAGCTCAACATGCACAGTGCATTGATTTGTACTTTTCTTTGCTTATATTATCAGTATAACAATATATGATACAAGGGTTTTATTAAAAAAAAAAGAAATAGTATACTCTTTCGATTGGCCAATGTGATATTTTATCTGCTCCTAGATGTTATATTCATGGATGGAACTCACTGTTCTTATCACAAGTATTACGTTGAATATATTAAATGAACATGATTGGAATGTGGATCTAATGCATGTACTATTCAAATTCTCTGCGACTGATTGTACATATAATTTTCTTTCACGAGTAATGTACCCGGTTTTAAATATCACGCTTTTCATGTTCTCTCAGTACAAGGATCGTAAGATTTGGATGCATAGAAGCCCGTTATATTTCGTCATACAATATAAACCCACATTCGTGTACATGTCCACATGTCAATTCAACGTCTTCAACGCTAATCCGTAGAGATAAACGTTAGTACAGCAAATTCCGCAAGCTAGTGGGCCGAAAAACAGTTTCAGCCGAATACTAGTTGCCATTGTCCTAACTGGAAACTCGCTGCAACGTTTGAAACGCATGCTACATGTTTATTATGTGCAACTCTATTAAACCTATTTTGCGTTAACGTAACACCCAGACTGCGTTATACTTTAATATCGCTGAATGTATCTATAAAGTTACGTTTAATTCTGCTGGAATATATTACATATATAAATGTATATATGTTTTTTTATCACGAATCTTTTCATTCGTAAATTCAATCGACTGTATTTTATTTCGACAGATCCTGAAGCATAAAATCGATGGAATCAGGAGAATCTCTTCCCATCCGCTTTTACCATTATGTGAGTACATTTGTTACTCTGACAAACGCACAAATACAGTTTCCATGAATATCTTTGAAGAGTTTTAAAGTAATTAACGTGTTTATTATACTTTTATTTGGTGATATCAGACTTAACCGGATCGCAAGATGGTTCTGTATCGTTATGGGAGTGGGGACATCAGACAGCTGTCGCTACCCCGAGAGCACCTGGCACTTTTGCCAAAGTGACCCGCGTTCGATTCTCTCAACACGGCAACAAGTTCGGTGTGGCTGATTCCGATGGCCATTTGAGTCTGTTTCAAGTGGCCTGCCGGGAAGGAACAGCTCGACCCTTCTTCGTAAGGATCTCGTAATTTGTCTATAAAAACATTGAATCACTCAGCATGTCTCTGTTCGGCACTGTCGAATCTATTTCAGACTTACCAGTGCCACAGCAAAGTGACCTCAGACTTCGTCTTCCTTGGCGCATGCAGTCTCGTAGCCACCGCGGGTCACGGCTCGGAAGGACGGAACGTAGCATTATGGGACACATTACTTCCGCAAAACAAATCTCTTGTACAAGGTACGAATAATTAGTGCATATCTGCTAACGAATAATTGATCTTTTGATCCTTTCTCTAATTACGGTACGATTGTGTCTCGTCAGGCTTCATGTGTCACGATCAGGGAGCCAGCGCCTTGATCCTGGCACCGCAGCATCAGCTGCTGATCAGCGGCGGCAAGAAAGGCGACATTAATATATTCGATGTGCGACAACGGCAACAGAGGCAGAGATTCCAAGCGCACGAGTCGGCTATCAAATGTCTAGCGCTCGATCCGCATGAGGAATTTTTCGTTAGTGGGGCAGGTGATGGTGATATTAAGGTAAACCAAGTCGTTGCCTCTTCAAATCGCATCTCCTCAATGTAGTGCCGTGCACCCTTCCTAATGAACGAATATTTTGTCCACAGATATGGGGTTTGACCGTCCATTCTCTTCTTTATTCGTTTCCTAGTGAACATCCACGGTCTAGTTTCTTCAAAAACATAGGACAGGTACTGTAGCGATGTGATTACCGAGTTGCTTAAACGTGAAACGGAGACATAACGTTATTTATTTCGCCAGGGCGTTACCCAGTTACACGTGGATTCTGCGGGTCGATTGTTTTCGTGTGGAGCAGATGGTTCGATGAAAGTCCGTCAACTGCCAGAACGCGATTGTGTAATACAAACGCTTTATTAGAATTAAAAAGAGGAAAAGAAGTTGATGAAAAAGAAGTGCATACCATGTAAGTATATTATGCGAAAGAGCCGATATTTATTGATTATATACATATACATAAATATGAAAGGCGAATCGTTAAAGAAATTCACGCAATTAATTGATTGCTGTTGTACGATATATCCACTACTTTTACATACGAATCGTGCAGGCGGTACGATATCTCTTTGCATGGCTAGTGTGTTGTAACAAGCTAATATATCGGGTGTTACATTTATAAATATATATATCGTTTCATCGAGAACTACTTTATTACATGATAAAGTGGTAAATTCCGCACGAATATTGTTGTTGTTGTCTAAAACTAAGCTCTTATAGTCTAAAGATAGTGAAAGCTGTAATCTTAGCAAGTGTTTCCCCGATCTACGAAAAAAAGAAAAAAAAGAAAACCAATGCAGTGAACAGATACACAGATAATCGTAGCGCCGAAATTGCTGCAAAAACGGCACTGTATTTTCCCTAAAGTGGATTTCGTACGGAGCAGCATGTACTAATCAATCATTCCTTTCTCACATGAAAGTAATATTAAACAATTCGATAAATGATATGTAATAATCTTCATGTACCTTCATATTTTAATATGTAATATATGTAATATTTATAAAGATCAGTTGATGATGAATTCTGTTAGCGACGGATTATTTAAAGACGATTTAGCCGATTTTCATAGCGGTTATTGACCATAGCGTAACAAGATGTTTCTTTATGTTAAATGAGAAACTGCGGTTTCTATGTATTATTTGTTGCAATAGAGGCAGTGTGCGCAATGTAAGTTATTGTTCTGTAATATAGTTCGATAAATTATTTCGAACATATCCTCATGTATTCAAGGTACTCCACTTCGATGCTTTTTCGTCATTGCTACTATACGGCACGATATCTAGGGTATGTAAAACACGGTGGGCAATTTTGGATAATGAGTAAAATACAGAGCTTGAAATCTGTGTTGCCTTCTAACTCTTTCTATCTCTTTATCTCGTAATGTAATATAGTCACCTGGCGAGAGAGATAAGCGCAACGCGGCATATTGCTGCAACGCGCTTCATCTTCTCGCGTATGTATACAGAATTGTTTAATATATATGTTATAAATGATAAAACAAATGATAGAAGATTAGTAGCCACGAGAATTAAATTCTTTTGTCAAATTATTTACATCTGTTTTGACCGCTTCGCTAATAAAATATTTCACAGATGTCTAAGATAAATGTATTTTCCTCATGTCCAGTTTTGTAAATATCATGTGAATCGTGATTAAGCACCGTTCGATGCGAACTTGGTTGAAGATGTGTAACGTCATAATTTTTAAATTAGTATTGTTTCCATCGCTATAAATTTTAGGACTTTCCGCAAGTAATTGTTGCAAGTATAGTATGGTTCTGTTATAAAGTATATTTACATAAAATTATAAGCTATAACAAAGGATTTATTTTTGTTAAATGCACTTGTTGAGAGAATGACACTTTTATCAGTTCATATATATACATATAATATATAATAAAGTTAAATCTCTGCTGTTTGATTTACACTAATGCACGTATATAAATACTTATTAATCTTTTGCACTTTACTTCAAAATTATAAAATCTTCACCACACAAATAATATAGAAAGCATAAATAATTTAACTATTAATTGCCTAATAATTTTAAGCGACTCTCCGCCACGAAATATTATGAAAAGAACTTTCTATATAAAAACAAAGTCAGTATTTATACAATGCATATACATGTAATTATGTAACAATTTTATGTGAATTTTATTTGAACCGCTATATACGCAGTCGATGGCATTGTATACTCAATTATACAATAAATATGTGCAAATTATAAGTATCCAGCTTTTGCCAACACATATATACTATTCGTTATACAAATACTGTGCCAAGCTCACACAATGATACACCATATTTTGCACAAGGATGGAGAATAATGAGTACTCCAAGCACACATACTTGATCATAGGTCCTTTATTTAGGTTTCCCACAAGTTTTCTTTGTAGTTATGTATAATTAATATTATCATATATGCATATTTCAGAGTAGAACGCAGTACTGTATAATTTATTATACATGTATAATTTAATAGTAGAACGTGACAAAAAAATTATAATAGAAAGTGAAACACATCTCGTAAGTGTAACTATCGAGTTAATATGCATATTCTTGTGGAATATTCTTTTTACGGGCGACAACGCTCTAGGAAACGCGGATACAAGCACACCTCGCGTATGTGATATCTGTTCAAGAGCCAGCACAAAAATCGTTCTAATCCCAATCCATAACCGCCATGAGGACAAGATCCATATTTCCGCTGTAAAGTAACATAATTATTCGAATTTACAATATTCCACTTACAATTCAGAATTTATTTTCTGCGTACTTACCTGGTCTGTGTACCAGTAGTACGGTGTCGGATCAATGTTTTCGCGGGTGTAACCCTCCATCATCTCCTCATAATCCCAGATACGCATCGAACCGCCAACGATTTCGCCCACATTCGGTAGAAGCACGTCGACAGACTCGGTCAAGCGTCTATCCTCTGTGCAACGTTGCATGTAAAACGACTTAATTTCAGCGGGAAAACGACAGAGCATTATTGGCTCATTGATAGCATCGGTCATCTTTCTTTCTGGCATTTCTGGAATGTCCTATAAAAGACAATAGTTATACGTTTTGTTTGAATTCAGTTGACGAGAGAGATACAAGAGCTTGATCATACTTCTCCGAACTCGTAAAAACTACCATCTTCTTTTGTGATATTGTTCTCTCTTAAATATTCAATCGCGTCGCTGTAGTTCATTCGCTTGAAGGGTTTCTTGGGCACTTGGAAGTTAGGATTCAAATCTTTGACGACTTGACCGTACGGCGATTGTAGAACTCGCTCGACTACATCGCAAATTAAATCTTCTAGTCGATCAAGCAGATCATCAAATGTGATAAAGGGACATTCTGCCTCAATGTGTGTATATCTAGAAATGAATTCGATATAAAAAAAAAATAGTTACAAAGAGGACAGATAATTTCTTTAATATGAAAAATATATATACGAACTCGGCAAGGTGACGACGTGTTCTCGATTGCTCTGCCCGATATGACTGGGCAATGCAGTATACATCACCCATGGCTGGTAGGCATGTTTCAAGATACAATTGAGAACTTTGAGTGAGAAAAGCGTTTTCTCTGAAAGAACATTAATTAGCTCACTGATAACTGCACGATTAATAACTCGTTCTATTTATCTATCGCATACCCAAAGTAATCTAATTGGAAGAGCGTTGAACCACCTTCCACTTGAGTTTGCACCAGAGTTGGTGGAGTTACTTCATAATAACCACGCTCCCTATAATGTTCTCTGAACATTTGCATCAATACGGATCTCATTATTAAGATTTTGGATGTCTGAAATTGATATGATTTTAGAATTGTGATGTAAATCCAACAGATTACATCAAAATCTCTAAGAGCATTAAAACTTTTTTGTCGTACATTTTCACCTCTAATCATTATATGCCTGTTGTCCAATTGTACATCAGGAAGAGCTTCTTCATTCAGTATTGAATCGGCGCCACCAGAAGGTGACGGTCCAATAAGTTTCCAATAATCAACGCATAATTCGTGCCCACCCGGTGCCTGAAATTAAATAATGTATAAGTATACATTATCTAAATGCATAGCACATCAATGACTTAATATGATATATTAATAATGTCAAATGTACATTTTTTCCTTCAGGAACAGCTTTCAAAACCCCAAACAGTTCAACAGCAGCTTCTGTGGCAAGGATCAAGGCATTGTATGTTTGACAAAGCTTATCAGTCAGTACACACTGCAGAAAGCCTGTTCCATCTCGCAACGTGATGAACATAAGAGCTTTGCCTACAATAGAAATTGCCCAATAAATTATCACGTTCTGTTAGAAATAAGCTTAATTATATTGCATACCTTGCCGCCTTAGTCTATGCACCCATCCATATAGCTTGACTCTTTGATCTCTGTGACTAAGAGCATCTTTTATCTTGATACGTTTTGCCTCGGGCAGAGTCTTATCCTCTTCTACAATGATCGCCTTGGCCTCTTCGAGATTCTTAATTCTCTTTTCTTCATCATCCAACAGCTTCTTCTCCTTCTCCTCACTCTTGTACTGCTCTCTAGCCCAAATCTTCTGCATCTTTTTCAACTGCGTCTTCGATGCTGGTTCATATTTCTTGCCACTTTCACGAGAATCCTGATAGATAATTGGAAAGGGTTCCTTTTCGGCATGACGCATTGCTCTTAGAATAGTTTTAAATGGGCTGCTCTCCGAGCCATCTCCCGTCTCGTCGCTACCATTCTTGTCTGACGTATAAATACCTTGCAAAATATTTATTGTATCATGTTTTTGGTGTTGCTTATTTAATTAGCTATAAAGTTAATACTCTGACACAAACAACGTATAATACATAATTTATTGCCATCCTTGTTATCATTCTTTATTGTAGCTCTCACTACTATTGCATCAGTCTGATGTAACTTACCTGGTAAAGCTGCCTTCTCCGACATACTGGCTGATAAATTTATTTGAAGCTTATCACTGAATAGTCTATCCTACAAAAGAATATTTTTGTTATTAAATTATAATTTTGTACTACATACCGGTTAGCACATGTTAGTGCAATTTTTTATCACAAGATATTGTAACAATATTATACACAACGTATAGCATACTAAAGCTATAAATCATGATTAGCATGTTATCTTAAGTTTATTACACAATATGCTTTACAAAGAAGAAGAAATATTCTTACTTTCTTATCGTACCCGATAAAAATGCAACAAAATGCAACGTGTAGAAAACCTAAAGCAACCAGCACGATACTAGCCCGTTTTTACACTGTGTGTAAAGGTAGCAATCGCAAAATTATGCAATTTTATTGACAAGTTTTGGAACGCAAATATAACGATTAAGACGAGAGACCTCTTTCGGGAAAATAAAAGATTTGTAATTATTCCGGTAGAGAACGCGCATGTCAATTCGCGTTCTTAAACTCATCGAGAAAAGTCTGTGGTTCACGATTATTCCGACAGAAAGCTCTCCCTGTTCCAATTTTGTCACATGCGTCTGAAGCTTCTTTAAAATCAGTTTCAATTCCCAAGAATGTTTTCAAAACTCATGAGAAGTTCAATAAATATTATTAAAACCGTTATTGAATTTTGATAAATAATTTTTTAAAAGAATTACACAAACTCTGAATAAATTTTAATATGATACAAAAATATTTCATTATCTTACCATAAACACATGTCTGTACAAATAACATTTTATTATTGAACATACGTTCTGAATCACGTTAATTAAAATTTTTCCGTCCCAAATATATCATCCATTGTGTTAATGTTTAATTACAGATATTCATGTATGTCTATATATTTTATTACAAATTGTAAAGAACTTATAAATCTAGGTGTTCTCAGATATATTTCATTTTTGTAGAACTATGTTTTCCTGCGAGTCCTGCCCTTAGCGCTCTGTTCCGAGGTATAAAATGTAATACACTAAAATCAAAAGTTCACATTATTTATATATGCATGTTCCTTAACACATGGTCATATCTAAGTTAAAGAAAAAAGAAGAATAAGTACCTGTTGATCTAGAAAGCTCATAAGATTAGAGAGCTTACATTTAAACCCATGTGTTTTTAACGTAGAACGCAACTGTTCAATATCCACAGGTTCGTACTGTAATATTTTATTATGTAAATCTTTATCAATATTGATTAATCTCATAAAGGCTTCTGTGATGTCCGATGAATGAGGGGAACCTGGAGAATTCTCCAGTGTTGCAGATGACGCAGTTTCGTAAAACTGCATTTCTTTGTTAATTGTTTCTTTTGCAGAACTTACACTATCGTTGCTGCAACAAACACACGGTGCTCCTTTATTATATTTACAAATAAAGTGTCATAAAAAATATTGTCAAGAAGATAAACTAATATTTACATAAAATTTACCTATCTTGAGAACAAGGCAATTCATTATCACTGTCTTCGGCATCACTCGATTTTTCCAAACTGTTATCATTCACGTTTCGTTTTTTCGTTGGTGGACCCTCGTCTTCATCACTCGAAATTTCAGTAATTTGCTGTCCTACCATTTTCTCAGGCACTAAAGGATGGAGTTCGTTATAAATATGCGTTAACAGTTTCACAGCTCTGTTACGCTTTTGTACCTTTAGTCCATATTTCTTCATTTCTCTCTGGAAATTAACAATTCGCTTGTGAAAAAAGATCAAGATTTATCATTATCAATGAACTTACGTGTAATTCAGGAGTGCCCATATTGTTGTAATCAGGCGGAGGTGTAACATCTTTATCAGTTACTTTAGGCGTTTGTGCATTGCCAATGTTATGAACGTAATTGCATTGAAATTGCAAGGCTACACTTGTAGATGTAGCCCCCTGATTACTTAACCTATTTGTATTAATCTGCCCCTCCGACAAAGATTTTCTTTGAAATTTCTTAATGCTTGTAAAATTTTGAGTCAAAACTGTAACATTGTTATCTAAGTTTCCACGATAATCCGCTGCTACATCTTTACCTTTGATGCTTTCACGATTTTTGTTTTTAGTATTGCGTGCATTACTATTTTTTAATTCTGCCGTACTTAACGTGTTAAATGATAGACTCTTCTCCAAAACATGTGGTTTCTCGTATTTATCAATATCGACGTTTGCAAGATATATATCATCTTCAAAATTAAAAGAAACATCAACCGATTTTCTTAATTGGTGAGTAGTTGTTTCTGATACATCTTCGGTACAGTGTTCATTTTGAGATGAGCTTCCCATATTTAAAACCGGACTGCAGCTTTCATCCTTTGAAAAGTCTGGGCTAGAGGATACCATAATCGGACTTGGAACAGATTCCTGTTTCTCATCATCATTTAATCCAGATTTTTGTGTCATAGACGTTATCTCCGTGGTATTTAACTTATCTTGATTTGATTTAGTTGGACTATTAATATTCTTTCCTTCCTTTGTCATTGCTTTTGAAAATTTCTCAACTTCGAGCAAGCGATTGCTGTTTTCATTTTCTACATCCACTTTGCTATCTTCTGTCCTTTTTCTAGACTGTTTTAAAGAATGAGACATGGTATCCTCATGGTCGGAGTCATCGTTCTCTGAAACAATGTGGCTAACATTGGAAGATATGCTTTCCACATCTGTGTCTGACGAAAGAATTATATCCGCATCCTTTTGTGTCAAAACACTTTGAGCCAAAATTTTATCTTTCTCATCCTCACTAATGTTATTATCTTTATTGATCGAATCAGAAGACGTACTTTTATGATACAGATTACTGTCCGATTTATTTCTACTGATTGCTGAACGATACTTTGCTATGCTGTTGTCTTTGTGATCCCTCATGTATTTAGAATACATAGAAATTTCTCCCTCATTCGTTTCCATGTCAAGAAAGGTTTCGCTAAGCGATTGCTTCATTGTTTCAGAGTGTTGTGAACATTCTGCTGGCACAGTTGTGTCTTGTTTCATAATGCTCATATGTTTCTTATCTGGTGAAGTAAAACTTTGTGTACCGTTCAATACATTATTATAGGAAGATTTTACTATCTCCTTAGAAGACAGAGAATGTGTAGGCGAACTATTAGTCTGCTTAACACCTCTTACTTGTTCATTAGAAAGACGGGAATAAAATTCTGGATTTTTATCAGCGAATGACCGCATATGCTGCTCTATCATAGTTAATCTACCGGGTCTTTCCTTTGTATCAACTGACTGTTTAACATTGTCGTAAGGTAGCCGATCAAAACCATCATGTTTATCTACATGAAATGGATTTATCTGCCTTATGGAAGACGTTTGTGCAAGACATTCCACGTTCGAATTTAGTACCGTGTCCAATTTCGCGTTTTCCTTCTGGACTTTTTCGATGAATAATGTGAGATTACTTTTTTGTTTTATTATTTCTGAAGAACGATCTTGGATATATTTCGATTTACTTTGAGGAGTATCGACTAAAGAATCTTTATACAAATCGTCGGTAGAAAATTTCAAGGAATTTGATTCGGATTCTGCATCAATTTCCATTACATTTTTCGAACAGGAAGGTACGTCTTTGTCGAACTTCGAATATTCGGCGTCCTGAGTTTTCAATGATTTTTGACTACAGATGTCATTGTCCGCATCTTGTTTAATCAAATTCAGTAATATGTGAATATTAGAATCGTCGAGGTCTTTAGATTGTACTGTGGATTTATCGCTATGTATCGTTACAGGCGTGTCATCAAACAAATCGGGAGATGCACTAGCTTCCGATCTTGTGGGTGTATTACTTCTGGAATTTATTTCATCTGACATTAAAGCAGATTTTTCGTCTTGCAACAGACACAAGTTCTTTGCAAGTGTATAATCATTTTCAAGAGAATCATCCTTGACATCCGCCTGTAATAGCGTTTCTCGAGGGCACTGAATGTTTCCCACAATATCATGTGTACGATTAGGTGATCCGTTAGGAGATTTACCCAAGTTCGGAATATTTAAAGTCCTTTCTACATTTAGATGTCCAATTTCTGTATCTTTTTCACAAGTATAATCATGTTTAACTTCTGCTACATTAGGTTTACATTCCTTTTGACGCAAATAAGTAAATAAATCATGTACTTTGTACTTTCTTCCTAAAACTCGAACACCAGATAAAGATGTCTCGGAATCAAGTATCTTTGAATATCTATCGATTATCCCACAATAAACAAATTCTAAAAAAGCTAAGGCAACATCATAGTCCGTGTCGTGCCAGCAAATCTTTTCTTTGGCAGTAGAGAATTCTGTATCATTGGAAACTACATCAAGTAAAATATTTGTGCAACGCGTATAGAAAACTAATTTATGCGTCCATATATATCTGCCGTTTTTCACGAACACAATAATGTCACTTGCAGAACTGTCGTTAAGTATGTTTCTCCAACTGATTACTAGATTGTCAAGAAATTTCTTTTCCTTGCAACACATATTGACTGTATTTGGAGGGATCGTCAATGCTTCATCATTGTCCTTCATTTCCACAGTTTGTATTTCCTCCATTTCCTGCATTTGTTCATTATCCAAAGATCTATCGTTCTTTATACTTCTTCCGTCCATTTCCATACGTTTCATAAGATTCTGCTCTTCCTACAAATAATGATATTATTATGTGCTTTGCGTATAGTATTCTAAAATATATAATTTTGCCAGTACACAATAGTTAACTTACATCTAAGTTCTGTTCTTTCTTTTCTATTGGCGGTATTTGAAGCGACAAGTGATTTACATAAAATATATCTTGAATTAGAATTAGTTTTGTCCTATCCCACAATGTATTCTCCTTGAAAATAATACACGAATTTTTAAGTGTGCAGTGTGTTCGGACTGACAAATAATTTTTACTACAAAAACTTAAGTGTAATTACAATTTTATGTAATTGTTGAAGTAATTTACTCTTTAGAACAAGTTTCTCCTTATTCGATTCTTCTGTTTTTTCTTGGGATCTTTGAGTAAAATCCTCACATCCCATAAGTATCTCAGCTATTCTCTCTGTTAAAATACGTTCCCTTTCTACAGCCGTGCGTCTTTGCAAAATAGTTGGTTCAGTGAGCTTTCCTTTTCAAACAAGAAAACAGAAAAAGACAAAATCAGAAACTAAAATATAAGTTTCTTATTAGTTGTAGGATTTATCAACTGCATCAGTTAATATAAGTAATTACTTTTCTTAGTTTTCTTGGTAGGCAAATTATCTGTTGGTAACGTGTTTCTACTAAACCCGAAACTTTGCAACGTTGCTTTCTGAGGACATTCTACGTTATTATCTGGCACGGACGAATTAGAGGACATTGCCATGATCTGTGCTTCATCCCATTCTTCTACCTCTTCCTTTTCATACAGAGACTTGGAAAGTGCTAAGGCAAGCTGGAGGTCAGGATCATTGCATGATCCCTGAAAAAAATGTTATAAATAACTAAAATTATTTATTATACGTGTTATTTTGTTACCTACTTAATCGTTTATTATAGATTTTGAGAGGATTCGCTCAAGTTAGACTTCAATTAAGTTCCCATAATCTGACAATGTGAGAGTCATCGAATTGACGTTGAAACGATTAAATACCTACCGGTTTACGTGCAGCAGGCTTCTTGTCTTGTAACAAAGGAGCAGAGAGTAGCCCCAACAACTTCCTTTCCGAGGCTTGCCGTTCTTGCAGCTGCACAGCATCCATCAACTTCTTTGTGGACACATTATTTTTCGTAGCACAACTTTTCGTATGTACAGTTTGCGAGTTTTCATCTTTAAAACTTTTTAAACACAGTGGGCATACGTAAGCCGTTTTCACGTCAGTTGAGCTCTGCGGCGATTCTACTTCCTTCTTTTCAGATTTGAAAAAAGACGATTCAATCAACGGTTGTTGTACCCCGCGAGGAATCTTTTTATTTTGTAATGAGTTTTTGCTTTTGGACTTCCTTTCATTGTTAATAATTTTAGGTTTACAGTGCGGTGCTTTCTTCTTGGCCTTATCCCGAAGTATATTAGAAGAAACCTTCGACTGCACGGAACATATTTTTTTTGGCGATTTAAAATTCAATATACTGTCATCGTCGCACGGAGATTGGGACGTAGAAGCGGTATCATTCTTGTTGTTTTCATTATTGCGATTGCCAAAGAGCGCAGCCTTATTATCTATGCTGAGTAAAATAACATTCCACGTTAATTTAGATATTTTGCTTCAAGTGTCTCCTATCAATAAATATCTTTACAAGTGCAAATTTAACAGGAAAGAATGTAATAACAAAACCACTGCGAGATGTTTTTCATATACTTTAAATATATTCTTATATATTTTCAGAAAGGTACATGTTACATTAAGTCAAACTTACCAACATTTAACATATTTTAACGTATGTCGTAATACCTTTCTTTATCATTTCGCCTTAACCTCAACTTCCTTCCCTCCGTACTACCAGGCTTACAGAATCCGTCCCCCTCAACGTCCATAATTGGTGTACTTTAAATGCTCTGATGTTTAAGCATTAGCTTGTGTATCCTTCAGCTCGGCCTCCGCTTCTTTAGCCCGCTGTCTCTCCAACAACTTTTCGATAGGGCCTCTCAAAAGTGGAGATGAAACATAATCGTGTAGCATAGACCGCTCGTCTTCGGTGACTTGTTTCAGTTTATTATACTCAGCCAACACCTTGGGATCGTTGCAACTGCGGAACAAAATTTAGCACATGAATTAGAACAGAGTGGGAGCCCGGCGAGCAATTACGCCCGGTCTACAATGAGTTGTTAGTCGTTAGTCAGAAGTCGGAACTATATGTCGGTCCTTTTTCTTCCACCCAGAAAGGAAAAGGATCAACATATAGTTGCGACTTCTGACTAACGACTAACGACTCATTGTAGACCGGGCCTTAATTAAACGGGCGTTACACGGCTAGATTGATTGGAATGCTGAATATAAATGAATACCGTGGAGCGTAGGGATTGATCATCTGAAAAATTTATTTACACGAGTGCATACGTAAAAAAATACCTACTGTCTTCTCCAGGAAATGTACATCACTCCGGCGTACCAAACGGTTATGAAGAGCGATGTGAGTCGAACATATTTGTTAAGCGGCGTATTCCTGAGTTGACGTGGTTTCCTGTGCGTCTCGTCCGCGGGATCGCGAACCATTTCACGGAGATCGTGCTAAAGACAGAATTTTAAATAATGCCAGCGTGATTACGGGTTTAAGGGCGACAATTAACTTTACAACGAGATTGTGGCGGGCATGTGACACTAACCTATAATCAGATGCATGGTTTAAAGATACGAGGTGAAACATTGCGCAATGCAATCAATTTTTGGGGACAAATTGCTCATTGGTTCTTCTTGCATTCAACCGCAATGATTTGATGGTTGGGGCAAATTTCTGATTGGTCAGTTCGGTAGTTTGGGCCACTTCCGATTGGTTGACACTGCGCATCCACCAGATTGCTTCACCTTGTATCTTTACACCATGATCAGATGTTTCCACCAAAAAGACTAGAGACCAGGAGACTCAACTCCAGTGGTGGGGGTAGGTCAAGATTGGTCGCATTTCATGGACACTGTTCGCGCTGAACCTATTCAAATCTTTAAACTAGGTTTAAATAGAGGCGTCTACTTGATTTATCAAAATAATAAGAGAACAAATGTATAAAATGTTAAGTCGTATTTTTATTGGCATAAATCAGTTCACATAATCCGTATATATTCGCATAGTACCCATCTGTGTTAAAAAGAAAATCTGTCTTTAACCAACGATATTCGTGCAAATTTACGATAGTGGAATTTATAATAACTGTACGACGCAACTTGTATTTCACATAGTGTCCCTCGTCTCTAGTTCATTGTATCACATTTCACAGAACACTGGATGTCGCTCAAATGTACCTCGCAGGATTCGATACATCTGGTGCATTTCAGTTGTACTGCAATTCTCCCATGTAACGCACGAAAAACAAGTAATTAATACAATATAAGATATCGATGAACATGTAAGACAGTTAATTAATAGACCGTCGCACTTTCGGCTCTCCGAGTACTTTTGAGAGTGAAAGCGTGGATGTAACACAATTACGCAAATACAATACTTATACAATACACGAATATAATATATGGAGCAATTTATTCGAGTGTATTATCTCTTTCTAGAAATATATTGCAGAGGATAACGGCATCTTTTAAACGATAATATAATCCCAAATGGACAAATACTGTTGGCCGCTGTTTATCCAAGGGTAACAAACTTGTGGGAATCCAGTTAAAACACATGATCACATATCAATCTCGTACGAAACGTTGTCAAGTTAGCGATAGAATGAGCCAAATGTACAGCTATGTGCATCAATAATGTGGAATTAAACTAAATACACCTAAATCATCTACATATGCTTTGGTAGAAGCACAATTAATAACTATTTAAAATTAAACAAAATGTAAAGCTTCACATGGAAGTCGGCGACCAAAAATTCATCTCTCTTAATTCCGACGGTTTGACCTCGAGTACGTTAGCGTAAACGGACGACTTATCCGCCGATTTTTCTTCCTTTCCAATGTACGTGAGATTTTGCGAGGATATCGACTTCTTTCGATTGAGCGGCTTGGGTGGTGGCTCCATGTCTGGATAGAGCTCGTCTTCCTCGTCTATCTTCGCTGTAATAACTTCTCTGGATTGGCCGAGTATGCTCGACAAGATCCAATTACCCTGATACTTTTCCTTATCCGGCACGAACGCGCCCGTGAAGTATCGATTGTGAATCTTCCTGCGTGCTTTCGGTGAACTATCCGGGCTTCCTGCTGGCGATGCCAACGGCGTCGCCGGTAACGACTTGCTGACGCTCTTCGCCGGGTTCTCCGTCTGCTGAGGACGCGAGTCCGGCGTGAATACCTTGGTGAATTTACCAGACATCATTTGACTAGCTACATGAACGATTGATTTCCCACAAAGAGCCGGTTCACCATGAAAACCGTCATCCGTCCCCTGTGATTTAGGCTTTACATTTCCGCTCGTCGAAGCTTTATACACTCTAATATCACCATCTAAAACGACATCGAGCGTGCGTTAGTGGGTGCTGTATTCCCAAAGAATATAAGATCTTCGATAATATACCTTTACTATTATTTACAACCGGTATAAACGGTTGACATGGCAAAGGGTGTTTGCTAAAATCAATCTTCTTGACATCTTGCAAATCAGAAATGGTCTTTTCATTCGTTATCTGATTCGTGGAGCTTGAAATATTTTCATTTAAAACCTCAGTTACGATGTGCTTTAATCCGTGCTGCGGCTGAGTATTTTGCGACCTTGGGTATCTTGCGTAAAAGAAGCTGTCATCATACGAAGGTGGACTGAATGCGGCTTCGTCAAAGTCAAACCTAAAAAAGGAAATGTATGAAATTACATTAATATAATCAGTAACGGTGAGTGCATAATTAACATAAATGACACAGATTGCAACGCTACTTAGATCTCTTGTTTAATTCAGCAGTCCCTTTGTATTACTAAAAAATTAAAATTAAATTAGCCCAAAATTAAAAAATTAATCTCTCGACAAGACAATGGTAGAATTAAAGTATATTTATAGAAAGAATTTATGTGACGAAACGTTTGCAGATGTTTGACTATAAATAAGACACGAAGCAATTTGGCAGAAAACCAATGCACATAATGCAACAACAGTTTCAAACAGATGTCCCAATACACACAGCTGGCAATTGTATTAAGCGTTACCTCCGCAAAAATGTGTCGAACGGTAAAACCTACCTATTGTCCATTCTCCCCTTCATCCATTGCGGCAATGAAATCCCACTACCGAGAGATCTGTCCTGCTGTCCTGAAGTGTCCATCCTCGTACTAATAAAAAAACTCCCAACAAGATTGAATTTTTCACGTTAATTACAAATGTACAAATACACAAAAAGACAAAGGATGACGCTTCGTTATCCACATTACTCTCGAACGGCCGGTAAATGTATACGTGCTATTGTTTGTACGGTTGTATAATACAAAAGAATTAGTAGCAGCACTCCAGTTTTTTTTTTAGAGTATCGACCAAGTTACTGTTCGACTGATCTGCAATTTGTCAAGCGCGTTAGGATACGGAAAAAATCTGTATTTATATACGACAAGAACGGACATGCGAAGTGGATCGACACTTACTTTTCTGTTAGTGTTTACAGACGAGATTTTTATGATTATCCTCATAATTACAACCTGCTGCTACTGTCGACGGAAATAGCAATGAATGAACGCAATATTGATAATAAGATTACGCCATGTTGATAATCATAATGGCTGACAATCACAAATGGCCGCCGACTGCGCGTGCGCACGACGCGCTCGCTGCATCTTGGGGGAACAAAGATCTAACTAGAGAACTTTAAGGCCGGTATTCATAATCGGATCTTTGGAACATTTCATTGGCTACGGCAAGATCTTACTATGAATACCGGCCCTAATTTCGAGAAACGTGTAGCCAATCAGCTTGCAGCTTTTATGGAATAACACTGGATTAAAACTTTAAAGAAATTTTCTCATTGGACCATCTGCTACGTCTCATATGCGAATTCTAATCTTCAGTTCGCATATGTTTGCGCCTCTCAATCCTTTAAATGCGCAGCCTGGGCCTAAATTCCG